TCTGGTCTCTTGAGGTAACGGATTTCCCGCTCGTTTAATAGACCTGACAACGGGGGAGAGTAGAAAAGGTACCTCATGACAGTTAAGGCAAAGGAGGAGATCGATTGCAAAGACCGTATTAGAATGGTCATCGGCACCACAGATGGGCATTCGGCGATAGATCTGCAAAATTTCGCTGGATGGCCAAATCGCCAGCAATTTCTACACTGTTGTGGTGTAGGGATCACCTTTCGAACTTGTAACCGATGTCCTGCTTATAAAAACGGAGGATGGGAGTTCTCGGCTGTCAAAAGTTAAACGAGCCCCATTGCTAGGGTATCGTCTCCGCCCCCCGGGCAGGAAGAACGTAAGTGTCTACCTTGAGGATGGGAGATCTTGGAGTTCCAGCTGTTCTAAAATGTCGGTGCCACATGTCTGGAAATTTTGTTGAACTATGGTATGGGGCAGAATAACGGTACCACTACAAGAATTGAGGGGAAAGATGTTTTTCAAGGGTGACAGGAACAGTATCTATATTTGGGTAAGACGAGAGAGCTCACGAGCCTGGGTAGCATTCTGTACGGTAATGATGCGCGTACCGCTCTTAAGAGCATGAAAAGAAATATTTTACCAACATGGCGTAGGAGTGCCTTGCCCAAAACTATGGTCAGAAAGATAGGCAGTAGAGGAAAATTGGTCGTAAAGTGAAGAATTTAGTCCACTGTTCAGTCTGAAACTGAGCGTGGAAAGGTAGTGAAGGACGTGTCGATCGTTTCTGAGAAGAACGAGAAGGTGAAGGTGGAGAAGTATCATCAGCAGGTAATTGTCGTTGACGTTTAGGCGTGGGGCCAGAGTTGGTCCGAGTGGAACGGGTCGGGGGATTTGAAATTGCCGCATCGGGGGAAAAGGGAGAGGCCGGAAGCATAGTCAGAGGAGAGCGAAGGTCTGATAAATCGAAGGAGTCAGTCGAGGCCTCAGTACCGAAACGGGTGAGGAAACAGCACCGGCAATAGGGTACAGAGGCATGAGGAAAAGTCTGAAGAGTGGTCCAAAGACGAGGCGGGGTCAGAACGGGGTCGGTATCAAGAAGGGGCCCGGGGTACCAGGTTCATGGACTAGGGCTGCCATGGTTAGGTTACTTCTTTCTTTTGTTTTTAAGAAAAAAAAAGAAAAAGAAAAGAAAATAAAAATAAATAAAGAAAAAAAAAGGGGGGAACCGGGGAGGGATAGTTTCTAGGAGGGATGAAAAGGGCCAGAAAATCTCCCTCCGCGCCCAAGAGGACTCGACACCTCGTAGCGCAGATGCAGCATGGAAACCGTGCCATACCCTAAACCCTTCATGCCAAATAAACCAGCAATCTGGGATAGCAACCTCACATCTGCCGAGCTAAACCCCGGTGGAAAAAAAGAGAGGGCGGCCGGATATCCGCCACAAAGCATACCTCCTTCAGCCACCACCCCCGGAATCCCCAAAGGTGGCTTCCAAAAGCTACACCCGTCGCCCAAAAGACACCCAAAACTACTCCGGGATACCGGAGAGGATCGGGACATCCCTAGGCAATCCAGATTCCACGGGAAACTACGCCACCGCCAAGAAACCTCAACGGAATGGGATTTGGGCCCCGGTGTCCTTTCTCCTACCTAGGAACTAGCGCGCCTGTGGGAGAAATCCCAAAGGACAAAAAGAGGAAGGGCAAAAGGGAGGAGTGGGGAGGAGGAGGAGGAAAGGAAAAAGGGGAGGATGGGGAGGATGGGATAGGGGAGGGGAGATTGGGGGGTAATTAGGTTCGGTCTGAGGAAGAAGACCGATAGGTCTAATTCCTCAGACCAAGAGCCTCTTCACCACGCCAAGGAGCCCCCTTGAAGAGGTCTCTAGGCTGGAATACTGCTGTACATCTCCATTCAAAGCAGGTGAAATCGCAGATCTAGAGAGTGTACAGAGATCCTTTACTGCACGTACAAGTTCTGTCAAATTCAAATTCAAATTCAAAGTTTATTCTCTATAAGGATTACAATGCTGGGAATGCTTGGAAGCACTTGACGTGTACTTGTTGGAACGCAGGAGGGAGAGATATCATAATCTACACTTGGAAAATCTTGAAAGGAATGGTCCCAAATCTGCACACAGAAATCACTCCCTACGAAAGTAAAAGACTGGGCAGGCGATCCAAAATGCCCCCAATAAAAAGTAGGGGCGCCATTGGTGCACTAAGAGAAAACACCATAAGTGTCAAGGGCCCAAGACTGTTCAACAGCCTCCCATCAAGCATTAGGGGAATTGCCAATAAACCCCTGGCTGCCTTCAAGAGAGAGCTGGACAGATACCTAAAGTCAGTGCCGGATCAGCCGGGCTGTGGCTCGTACGTTGGACTGCGTGCGGCCAGCAGTAACAGCCTAGTTGATCAGGCCCTGATCCATCGGGAGGCCTGGTCATGGACCGGGCCGCGGGGGCGTTGATCCCCGGAATAACCTCCAGGTAATCCAGGGTCTAGGAAGGTAACTTTAGGTTCCCACACAACAAGAACATATACAATGCAGAGTTCTAGGCATTAAAATATGAATATTTCAGAGACTATTGTTACTACACACACAGCGAAGAGACGGGACCAGGAGTTGTGAGTCGATCCCTGTAATCACAAATAGGTGAGTGCATGGTGTACCCAGAGGTGTAGAGGGACTAATGCCAAATGTGGCTAGAGCATGGAAAAGGTACAGAAGGCAAAGAACTCAGGAAAAAAAGGATCAGAGTCGAAAGTGCCAGAAACTAGTATGCATGGATAAGAAAGACTCAACGGTAATTTGAGAATAACGTATCATTGAAAGCCAAATCCGACCCAAAGTTGTTATATAACCACATTAGGAGGAAAACAATAGTCAGGGACCAGGTAATCAGGCTGAAGAAGGAAGGTCGGGAGCTCACAAGGAATGACCAGGAAGTATGTAAGAGGTATTCTCAGAGGACAGAAAGGCTTCCAGCAAACCAAAGTCAAAGAGGCAGAGTGCACCAGCGAGCATTAGACACAGTACACACAACAAGGGAGGAGTGGAAGAAGTTGCTGTTAGCAGAGGCAGTGTGCCACCAGCAACAAGTATCAACACATGCAACTGTCGGAGGTATAGAAGAGAGCAAATGTAATCCCAATTTTTAAGAAAGGAGACAGACAGGCAGCATTAAACAACAGACCAGTGTCATTGGCATGTAGAGTATGTAAAGTTATGGAGAAGATTATCAGAAGAGTAGTGGAGCACCTAGAAAGAAATGGATTCATATATAACAATTGCACGGAATGGAAAACCCTGTGTCAGAAGGTTTTCGACACAGTACGGAACAAGAGACTGGTACAAAAGCTAGAGGAACAGGTAGGAATAACAGGAAAACCACTACAATGGATCGGGGAATATCTGAAGAAATCTGTGCCAGCCTTCGTCGGGTGTGGACGCCTCTTTCTCGCCTGAATATCGGTGATAAATTTCCCCCGTTCTCTCTGGGACACTTGTCCTCATCTATTTTGCCCGCCGGGCACTTTACAGAAGGTGCACCTGTTCATCGGCTTACTTTTAGCCAGCTCCATTTTTCCGTTCTGCGGATAATTGTTTAACGGTCGTCGGTGGGAAGCCGGTTACTGAACTCAGGTAAGTGCGTGAGCGTCCCGCTCTGCCGGGGCTCAGCAAGGGGTCCACTGGATCTAATCAGATACTTTAAGTTACTATCCTTGTTTACAAAGGAACTTTTGTTCATTTTGTTTCATCGCTCAGCTTTGGGCAACAAATCTTCCTCGTGCCATCGAGAAGTCGGGCTCGTTACAGCTTATGCTGTCAGTGGTCCTGATAAACCCAACGAAAAAAATGGAATACCTGAACGGAAGGAAATAACGAGTGACGAGGTGTCAGAGTGGGCATAAGTGACAAGGGATAGTCAGAAGCATCCCCGTTCACAGACTACATGAAATTAATGAGAAGAATACAAGCGGACGTGGGTCAGGAAAAGCTACAAAGGGATCTGGACAGGCTGCAAGGCTGGTCTGTCAAATGGGTCCTGGAATTTAATCCCATGAAGTACAAAGTTATGAAGCTTAGGGAAGGACAAAGCAGCCCACAGACGAAGTACAGGCTCGGGGGTCAAAGGCTGAAAACTTTATTCAAGGAGAAGGATCTTGGGGTGGGTACCATACCGAACATATCACCCGAGGTGCACATTACCAAATAACTGCTACGGCAAATGCGCGTCTGGCTAATCTAAAAATAGCTTTTCAACATCTAAGGAGTCATTCACACTACTGTACACCGTGGACGTCAGACCCATATTGGAGTATGCAGCACCAGTATGGAACCCACACCTGGTCAAACACATCAAGAAATTGGAGAAAGTGCAGAGTTTTGTAGCAAGACTAGTACCGGAGCTAAGGCGTATGTCCTACGAGGAGAAGATAAGGGAACTCAATGTGATGGCACTGGAAGACAGGAGGACTCGGAGGAATATGAATAACGTGTAAAATATGAGAGGAATTGACAAAAT